GGCTCTGACGGTCCTCAGGCCTGAGCATCGTCAGCTCTGCAGCATGGACATGGAGGAGGTAATCGAGAGATTTGAGGTCAGCATGCCCTAGGGCATCCCTGTGCCCCTGAATAGGCACTTTCTGGTAAGATGTAACTGCAGTGAGGTGACTAATCAATGTGAAAAGTCATTTCCAGGTTTCACCAGAAGTGAAACTGGCCCTCCCTGGGGGCGCAGCAGGTTGGGGCGCAGCAGTGAGAAGCTAAAGCCCTGTCAGCACGAGTTCCATCCCGTCTGCCCGCCCGGAGGGCCCGGAGGGTGACCCCAGGGCGCAGACCCCTCCTGGCCCGAGCTGCGCTCCTCAGCAGCCCCTCAGCAGTGTATTCGTCATTGGGCCTGCTCTGCTCCCCGCTCTGTCTGTGGTGAAGCCTCTCACCCGCCTGCACCTCTGGTCTGCACCCCAGTTCTGTATGCATCAATAAATAAATCTTAAAAAAAAAGTGAATCTGAAGGCGATCAACATTATTTCCACATCACTGCTGGCAGGAAACTGGATAATTAGAAATTCGCTTTGCAGAGATACATCAGAGCCTGCCTGGGCTTTAGGGGTGCGGCCAGTGGAAGGAAAGCACAGCTACAGTAAGAGAAAAAGATGACAGTTCGCTTTCTCTCCAAGTGAACAGCAGGTTTACAAAGTAGCAGACAAGCGGCTCCCCCCGCAGGGCTGGGCCACCTGTCAGCCCCAGGCCCTTCCAAGGGGGCTTCTGGGCTGCCCCGGCAGGGCAGGCAGGGCTCAGGGGAGCTCCCGCCTCTTTTCAGAAGCTGGTGCACTTGAAATCTCCCCAGGGGCAAAAAGGAGAGCAAAGCTGGGAACTCCTGGTTGGGGCTCCTCTTCGGGCACCCCCCCCCCCAGGGCTCTGGCCAGACGCCACTGCGAGGGGACTGTCTGAGATCTCGCCGCGTGGGCAAGAAAGGGGCCGGGGTGGGGGTCAGCGCTGGGGCCCCAGCCCACCGTGCTCCCAGCAGCTGCACCCCCACAGGGCTGACCCCGCCACAGCCCAAGGCGCCGAGTCCCGAGCTCCTCCGGGCCAGCAGCTCCCAGTAAGTGGGTGTCGGGTTTCAGCTTGTGCAGGCAGGGCCCGCCTTCCCTGAACAAAAACTGTTTATTTCAAGGAGCAGGTTTCCATTTCCAGGAGGAGAAAGCGCACGATTTCCTGCCGGCCACGCTCGCGGCCTCTCACTGCGGCGGAGCCGGGGTCTCTGCTAGCCAGAAGGCAAAGCCAGACCGGATTCGGCAAAGACGTCCCGGCGCCGTCCTTCGGCTCTGCATCGCTAGGTGCCTCAGTTTGCAGGACGAGAGCGCGCTGGGCGGCTCAGCCCGCGGCCCGAGTGGGCGGCCCGCGCGGGGGAGGGGCGTGGGTCTCACGCTCCAGGTGCTCGCAGCGGCTGGGCCCGCTGGCCGACGCGTGAGCGGGAGGAGACCCCGACGCGGAGCCGGCCTCGCGGCCCGGGGGTGAATTTTCACACCGGCCTCGGGCTTTGCGCGGCCGCAGCCTGCAGGGTCCCGGTGTGAGCGCCGGGACATTCTCCCGGTCGCCCAAGAAACGAAGCCACCGGCACGGTCGGCCGAAGATGACCGGCGTGTGATGTTTTCTTCAAGATGCATCGGGGAGGGGGTGGGGAGTGCGGGGTGGTGGTCGTGCTTTTCCTGTAACGAGCTGCAAAAACAGGGTACCATTTTGTCACTCGAGTGGGGGAGGGGTGCAGGGCTTCGGCGATGCAGGTCCTTGCAGGAGGGCGCCCCAAAGGCTGCAGTCCGGGTGATTTTCCAGCCCCCGCAGCTGCCTCCTGGGACGAACGCCGGGGAGGCCTTCGGAGCTGGCTCTGCGCTGCCAGCGCCCCGCGCCGGGGGGTGTGCGGGCGCGGAGCCGGGGCAGCGCAGAGCGAGCGGGGCTTTCTCTTAGTTGGCCCGGAATACCCGCGCCGGGGTGCAGGGGCTCAATAAAGAAACACAAAGAAAGGCGCGTTTGGGAGTAACGCCGGCAGGTCGACGGGGCGCAGCGGGTTCCTGGGTACCCCGTTCTAAGAGCGACCCGGTCCGCCGGTCACGGGAGGGCCGTGCCGACCCGAAAAGCGGGGTGCACCTGGTTTTGTTCGGTCTGCGCCTTCCGGCGGGGGAGAAGCGAGCAAAGGCGGGCTCGCCCTCGCCGGTTCTCAGGAGCGCGGCTCGGGGGGCGCCGGG